AGCAGACGAGAGGAGACGGGAGAGCAGACGAGGGAGCAGACGAGGGAGCAGACGACAGCAGCAGACGACAGCAGCAGACGACAGCAGCAGACGAGAGGAGACGGGAGAGCAGACGAGGGAGCAGACGAGGGAGCAGACGACAGCAGCAGACGACAGCAGCAGACGACAGCAGCAGACGAGAGAGCAGATGTTACCTGGAAGGTCAGGCGGTCTTTGCTGGGACTGAGCATCATGTCGTCCATTGGTGTAGCGCTGATCATCACGTCAGTCATCACGGCACACGCTACACACGCTCAGCTGCACAGAACACAACACACACAGTTACTCTCAATGCATGCACATCATCAGCAGAGTCTCTGCTAGAACTGAAAGATCAAATCGCTCTGCGTTTGAGAAGGACGCAGAAATCATTCTGCAAGTGTCGTACAATAAAACAAACTCAAAGCAGTCTCTTGCATCGAGCGCATATGTTTCTTACCGCACAGGCGTTTGCACGGTAACTGCTTTCGGAGCACAACAACATGCAGGAAGCCCTATGGTGAAGTGTCCTCAAACACAGCTTCACTCTTCACCACACTGGAAACCCCCAAACCATCAGCTCTCCAGCATCTCAACACGGACTCTCTCCATGCAAAGCGTGCTGGGATCCAGAAATCCCGTCCAACCAATGCCAAATAAACGTGACTCATTCGCTCCCAACGCAAACAGATGAAGTGAACATCCATCTGACTCTCGTAAGCGCACTGAACTGATCACTGACTCGAGCTCTGATGGCGTTCTACTAAAGGCCGGACAGCAGGTGAAATTAAGCAAAGTGGAGCGTGGGACGCTAAAGAGGATTGAGATTCCCTCATCCATAAGCCAAAAACTGAAACACATTGCATAACCACCAACACATTACAAACAAGACAACGTCAGCAGCTTCATCCATCATGGGATAATCCCAAAATCTCCCAACTGAATAAAAATGTACAAGCCTTTCATTTCACTAATGACCAATTACACAAGAGTCAGCGCGACCACCGATCTGATCACGGTCATAGTGAAAGTGCGCAGGGGCGTGCATGAGGCTCGTACAGTGCAGACGCACACAAACTTTCCACTGCTTCGGCTTCAAAGACTCGCGGTCAGATCATCACCACACTGTGAGCGAAGGGCCAACACACTTATCTAGGCTCACGGAGAGACTTTAGTGACTGAGCTTTATTGCTCACCTCATCTGCTTTATTGTTAAATCGAGTCAATAACAGAATCAATGATGGAAACTCAGGTCAGATTGTGCTGTAAAGCAGTGTCACTACTCAGATCAAGTCAGGTCAGTGTTGCTTCAGTTCAGATAGGGCTGCATGATAATATGATTTACATGCGATCAGTTCAAGTTTATTTGCATTCCTTGAGAATCGAACCCATGACCCTGGTGTTGCAAGCATCATACTCTACTGTTAAGAGTGACGGGAATGTTTTCCCGGCTCTGAACTGATGTTATGGGTCTGGGTTTCTGAAACGTCAGTGTTCCCGAGGCTTCTTCTCACACGGGCTGTTCAAAGTCTAAACTCTACAGAAAGCACTCAAACAGGCCAAGGACAAGCCCAGGCAGGCTTTCAGAAGCGCTCACTGGATTTCCCACACGCTCCCAGAGTTTCAGTAACTCCTCACCACTACATCAGAGCAGCTCATTAAGACACTGAATTAAATGTTGTGTAATAGTGACACCAGCATGAAACACAGGTTTGAAAGCTCTACGCTGATCAGAATCCTACACGCTCCATAAGATAGAAAACATGAAGAAAGCGGGTTTTAAACGGTCAGCGCTGCCAGTGATATTTCAGCAGGAGAGCGTCTAAACATCCTGCGCAGAGAAGAATAACAGATCACCTAATAAAAGACGAAGATCACAGAGGAGAGTCTCAGGTTTGTGCTTCACCTTCTGTCTAAAATAAAGTTATTGCTCATGTGTTTTCAGTAACTCCTCACCACTACATCAGAGCAGCTCATTAAGACACTGAATTAAATGTTGTGTAATAGTGACACCAGCATGAAACACAGGTTTGAAAGCTCTACGCTGATCAGAATCCTACACGCTCCATAAGATAGAAAACATGAAGAAAGCGGGTTTTAAACAGTCAGCGCTGCCAGTGATATTTCAGCAGGAGAGCGTCTAAACATCCTGCGCAGAGAAGAATAACAGATCACCTAATAAAAGACGAAGATCACAGAGGAGAGTCTCAGGTTTGTGTTTCAGTGTCATCCGTTTATTTCCCGTCACTCACTGAACCAACATCTCCCACATACACTGCTGTTCAGCAAGATTTGTAAGAAATTCATACTTTCATCCATCAAGGACGCATTAAATTGATCAAAAGTGACAGTTTTTGAACGAATCTCTTGAATGAATGAATCAATGACTCACTCAAGATGTACTCGTTTCATTACTGGATGAATCAGCATTTTTGAACGAATCTCTTGAATGAATGAATCAATGACTCACTCAAGATGTACTTGTTTCATTACTGGATGAATCAGTGTTTTTGAACGAATCTCTTGAATGAATGAATCAAAGACAAATACATTTTAACAGCCCCTTTTCGCCAGCTAAACACAAAGATGCACACACTGATAGGTGGAATTGAGCGTTCGTGATGATGCTTTAACTCAGTGTTGAACTGAATTGATCCGAATACTCTATTCTCAAGGATAGAGACTCTATTGTCTTCTGTAGAGCTGCTTTACAGCTGAAACTGAATTTGTTTTATAACTGATGAACTTTGCAACATTAACACTGTTTTCCCCCCGTTTACTAATATGAAGCTGTTTTGAAACAAACTGTATTGTATGAAGCTCTGTAGAAATAAATGTGACTTGGCTCAATGAGCTCAAACACTGTGCATGTCTGAGGAATTGCCCTCATATATGTGTCCCTGCAGCACAGAAGCAGTGTTGAGTCGCTGGGGGATATTTGTAGCAATAGCCAACAATACATTGTATGGGTCACAATTATACATTTCTCTTTTATGCTAAAAATCATTAGGATATTAAGTAAAGATCATGTTCCATGAAGATATTTTGTAAATGTCCTACCGTAAATATATCAAAACTTAATGTTTGATTAGTAATATGCATTGCTAAGAACTTCATTTGAACAACTTTAAAGATGATTTTCTCAATATTTAGATTTTTTTGCACCCTCAGATTCCAGATTTTCAAATATTGTCCTCTCCTAACAAACCATACATCAATGGAAAGATTATTTATTCAGCTTTCAGCTGATGCATAAATCTCAATTTCACACCCTTATGACTGCTTTTGTGCTCCAGGGTTACATATTAATTTGTTTTTGCATGCAGGCTCTTCATAAGCAATATGTGAGACACATGACACGCTTTAAAAACGAAGCAGAGCTCTTCAGTAATGATCTGAGCGTGCATCTGGAGCCAGCAGCAAGTTTGGGATGATGGTAGCAGTGCTGGAACAGGCTCTGTGGAGATGTGAGTGAGTGAGAGAAAGCGATGCATGACGGAACCTGACCTTTGACTCTTAGAAGGAGTGACTCAAACTGACCGAGCAGCGTTGAGAATGATCAAACCCATCACACTGAGCGTTAAACACACTGCTGTCAAACACGCGATCACAGAGCTGTTTCAGCTGCCAACAACAGCAGCACATGCATCAGCTTGAGAGAGAATCTCACCTGCGAGCTCATCAGCAGACCCGCACACACGCGTTTATCCCGCTGCTGCTGGACGCAAATATCGCTGGATCTTCAGCTCGACAGAAGCGCTGCTCTCCAGCTGCTCGCTCTGCACATGAGCCGCTGCGCATGCGCTTTTATACAGGAGGCGTGGCCGGCCGCGGAAGCCACGCCCACTCCGCTCACAGCACAGTACCACTGCTTTTACACAAACAAGTAATTAGATGTATTTATAATTAAACTCATCAGTATCTATATCTATAATCTATATTCTTTAGTTGAATTTCCTGTAATATCATTAAAATGTGAAAAAAGAGGTTTCTGATTGCTGAATATATAATGATGAATATGAAACTTAAGTAGCCTATAATCAAGAGATTGATCATGCAAGCCTCATTTTACAGCTTCTTGGTTCAGAAAGTAACTAAAATATTCAAAAAGCCAAAATGTTGAAAAATCCAAATATTACGTTGATATAGTAACAGCAAGTTACACAACACTTTGCCATTTATAAATCTAGAAACCTCCCACCCTAACCTCTTTGTAATTTCGGGGTGTAATGAACAAAATGAACTGTTTACGTCTATATCTGATTAAAAAATGAATGATCATCGTCCTTAGCCAATGAGCGTTGAGCGGTGACGTCAGCAAGGCCCTTCCCATCGCGCATGCGCAGACAGCAGCACTTCAGTGTTACTGTTATTTATATTTGATATCAAACATAAATTATAGTAGCCTGTCCAATTTAAACTAAAAGTTTATTTTCTTTTAAAACATAAGTTAAATCATTTGAAATATGTCTACTCATTTGCCCATGCAATAAGTGAGTTATTATGTTTGAATTGCGACATTGAGAAAGTATTCCTTCATTTTATATGTAGGTGTCAGTCGTGTCCTTAACAAGCTCCAGGTCTGACCGCTGTGTGTGTGTGTGTGTGTGTGTGTGAGTGTGTGTGTGTGTGAGAGTGTGTGTGTGTGTGTGTGTGAGAGAGAGTGTGTGTGTGTGTGAGAGAGAGTGTGTATGTGTGTGAGAGAGTGAGAGAGAGTGTGTGTGTGTGTGAGAGAGAGTGTGTATGTGTGTGAGAGAGTGAGAGAGAGTGTGTGTGTGTGTGAGAGAGAGTGTGTATGTGTGTGAGAGAGTGAGAGAGAGTGTGTGTGTGTGTGAGAGAGAGTGTGTATGTGTGTGAGAGAGTGAGAGAGAGTGTGTGTGTGTGTGAGAGAGAGTGTGTATGTGTGTGAGAGAGTGAGAGAGAGTGTGTGTGTGTGTGAGAGAGAGTGTGTATGTGTGTGAGAGAGTGAGAGAGAGTGTGTGTGTGTGTGAGAGAGAGTGTGTATGTGTGTGAGAGAGTGAGAGAGAGTGTGTGTGTGTGTGAGAGAGAGTGTGTATGTGTGTGAGAGAGTGAGAGAGAGTGTGTGTGTGTGTGAGAGAGAGTGTGTATGTGTGTGAGAGAGTGAGAGAGAGTGTGTGTGTGTGTGAGAGAGAGTGTGTATGTGTGTGAGAGAGTGAGAGAGAGTGTGTGTGTGTGTGAGAGAGAGTGTGTATGTGTGTGAGAGAGTGAGAGAGAGTGTGTGTGTGTGTGAGAGAGAGTGTGTATGTGTGTGAGAGAGTGAGAGAGAGTGTGTGTGTGTGTGAGAGAGAGTGTGTATGTGTGTGAGAGAGTGAGAGAGAGTGTGTGTGTGTGTGAGAGAGAGTGTGTATGTGTGTGAGAGAGTGAGAGAGAGTGTGTGTGTGTGTGAGAGAGAGTGTGTATGTGTGTGAGAGAGTGAGAGAGAGTGTGTGTGTGTGTGAGAGAGAGTGTGTATGTGTGTGAGAGAGTGAGAGAGAGTGTGTGTGTGTGTGAGAGAGAGTGTGTATGTGTGTGAGAGAGTGAGAGAGAGTGTGTGTGTGTGTGAGAGAGAGTGTGTATGTGTGTGAGAGAGTGAGAGAGAGTGTGTGTGTGTGTGAGAGAGAGTGTGTATGTGTGTGAGAGAGTGAGAGAGAGTGTGTGTGTGTGTGAGAGAGAGTGTGTATGTGTGTGAGAGAGTGAGAGAGAGTGTGTGTGTGTGTGAGAGAGAGTGTGTATGTGTGTGAGAGAGTGAGAGAGAGTGTGTGTGTGTGTGAGAGAGAGTGTGTATGTGTGTGAGAGAGTGAGAGAGAGTGTGTGTGTGTGTGAGAGAGAGTGTGTATGTGTGTGAGAGAGTGAGAGAGAGTGTGTGTGTGTGTGAGAGAGAGTGTGTATGTGTGTGAGAGAGTGAGAGAGAGTGTGTGTGTGTGTGAGAGAGAGTGTGTATGTGTGTGAGAGAGTGAGAGAGAGTGTGTGTGTGTGTGAGAGAGAGTGTGTATGTGTGTGAGAGAGTGAGAGAGAGTGTGTGTGTGTGTGAGAGAGAGTGTGTATGTGTGTGAGAGAGTGAGAGAGAGTGTGTGTGTGTGTGAGAGAGAGTGTGTATGTGTGTGAGAGAGTGAGAGAGAGTGTGTGTGTGTGTGAGAGAGAGTGTGTATGTGTGTGAGAGAGTGAGAGAGAGTGTGTGTGTGTGTGAGAGAGAGTGTGTATGTGTGTGAGAGAGTGAGAGAGAGTGTGTGTGTGTGTGAGAGAGAGTGTGTATGTGTGTGAGAGAGTGAGAGAGAGTG